AAAAATGTTCTAAAGAAATGTCTTCTCTCGTTAAGAGGATGAAAGAGCATTTGGTTAAATGCCAAATTGATGTTGAAGTTGTGGAAGACCATAACACTTGTGATACAGGCGATACTGAAGATGGCCAAAGCTTATCCAATGGCTCCAACGGTAATCAATAATTCATACATTTCTACATTTCTGTTAAAGTGTCTAAACTTCTAAATAGTAAATAGTTTATCTAAATATTTAAATATATATGTATCTGTGTAGATGGTATTGACTTTTGAATAACATTTTTGATATTTCATTGACCATTGTAGTTTGTATTTTGTACACAAAATTTGTAGTTTGTACTATAAAACTATTCTGCCAATGTTTTATAATAACTAGGTAAAAAGTATTAATAACTAATAATTATCCCATACTATGAAATATGAATGAATAAATTATCAACCACACATTTAGCTTTAGCCCCAACAATCAACTCATAGTTGTATATTATTAAAAATATTTTTTAATTATTTAATATTTTGTTTACTTTATAGATTTATCAAACAATGACAATCTTAGCCACAACAATATGATCGATATATCAAATGGAGAATGTGAAATTGAAACTAACACACTAACTGCCTCAACATCTACTATTTCTAGTTTGTCCTCTTCTATCACAAAAAAAGTTACACAACAAACATCTAAAAATGCCATAGGAGATTTTGTTATTCGGACAACTCAGATAGATAAAAAAAGGTTTGATTTACAGACGGCAAAATTTATTTATAGTACTAACACACCATTTAGACATGTGGAACATCCAGAATTTGTAAAATTAATAAATCAACTAAGACCTGGTTACAAATTACCAAATAGGCATAATATTGCAAATACTTTGCTCGATGAGGTATTTAATGTAACTATTTCTGAAACAAAATCTCAATTAAGGGGTAAAAGTGTATGCATGTCAATGGATGGATGGAGCAATATTCATAATGAACCTGTAGTATGTATTTCTGTTTATGACATTATTGAAAAATCAGTTTTTTTGGTTGAAACAATCGACACTCAAGATAACTCTCATAATTCAGAATATTTATTAAACTTAGCTGTAGAGGCCATAAACAATTGCCAAAAATACAATTGTATAGTTCGAAGCTTTGTCACTGATAATGCTGCTAATATGGCCAAAATGCGAGAAGAACTTGCTCAAATTGATGAAATTGGTGCAGTTAATAATAATGTACGTGATATTATAACAAATGGATGCAGCGCACATATTTTAAATTTATTGGCACACGATTTAGAAGTTAATAGTATAAAATCAAATATCAAACAAGTCATAAAGTATTTTAGAAATAGTCATAAAATAGGAGCCAAATATAAACAGGCAGGTGGTAAAACATTAATCTTACCATCTGATGTGCGCTGGAACACTTTTTCTGATTGCCTACAGTCCTATCTAGATAATTGGCATATTTTGAGTTCAGTTTGTTCAAACAACCGTGCAGCTATTGATGCCAGTATAATAAGAAAAATAGAAGATATGGAAATGAAAAGAAATGCTGAAGATTACTTTAAAAAACTAAAAATGATATCAATCTCATTAGATAAAATACAAAAAGATTCTTGCACATTGAGTGAGGCTATTGATGTCTGGAAAGATTTATTAGAGTTTTTTGAAAAAAATTGTGACTCAAGTGAGATTGAAAAACTGAAAGATAGATATGATATGGCTGTGACACCACCACATTTTTTAGCCAATATGTTAGATCCTAAATATAACGGTACTCGTCTATCTGAAGAAGAATCTGATTCAGCATTGCAGTACATCTACAGTTACCATCCAAGTGTATTAGCTGAAATAATAAATTATCAAGCACAATGTGCTCCATTTAAACCATACTTATTTAACTCTGACACTGTTAATAATATTAGTCCTATGGCATGGTGGAGCGCTTTATTTAAAAGGAAATTAATATCAAATGATCTTAACACATTGACAATGCAGTTATTTACAGCTGTATGTAGTTCAGCAGGAATAGAAAGATTATTTTCATCATTTGGTTTTATACATTCAAAATCCAGAAATCGTTTGGGCGTCGAAAAATGCTCAAAATTAGTAACCGTTTTTAAGCATCTCAACAAATAATATTATATCATTTATGATTATGGCATATGCTATTATATAATACTATAAAAGGAAGAATTATTAATTTTTATTTTTTATTTCTTATTTTTAAGCATCTCAACATTGAACATTCTCATTATTATCAACAAGTAATATTATATTAAAAATTATTATATAATATATATTATGTCATTATATACAATTATAAAACCTAAAAAGGGAATTTTTTGTTGTATTTTTAAAATACATTTAAATTAATTAAATTTACTAAAAAAAATACATTTTTATTGTTTAAAACATGTTAATAAAAAACCTTTGTTTTAAACATTGTTCTGTTTGTTTTGTTTTAAAGTATGAGGTTTTTTATCATGTGTTTTAAACATGTTTTAAACTTCTATTTAAAACAAAATGTTTTAAACGTAACAACCCTGGTATTTATTGTATCTTCAGGTCGAAAATGTTCGGCACATACAAATTGTACAACTGTTTCTTCGCAGTTAGCATTACTCACTGCTAATTTCCAAGCTAATAATTGGCTTTTAGTGCACTAAAAAAAGAAATCTTGGGATTTCTTTTTTTAATGTTGCATCCTTTTACACTGCACTTACGAAAATCCATCATTCAAATTTATTTATTAATTAAAAATTGTTTTAATAATAAATAAATAACCATTTCTAAGTTTTTACGGGGCTAAGCAAATAGCCCGCGAAAACGCGATCATGGTTTAGATTGTGACGCCAAATAAAACCATTGGTAGCGCTGAAAACTCTCGATTATGAGTGTTGATGATAACAGAGTCACCTTTTGCGGGCCGTCCCCCGTCACCCGCCCACCTTGTCGTTTCCAGTCCATTATATCTTAGTCCGTGGGCCTATCCATTCTTTTATTATCTAAGAGTTTTACTGGTGGTCTATGCGGCGTCGTCTAGAACTAAAAGCGCTAGTGGTCAGGAGGCCTCTTAAATACATTATTAATTATGACACCCGATCCGCGTTCGTAGTTAAAATTATATTTTATCATGGTTTTTTAGTAATGGACACATAAATTTTGAAACAATATTAAACACATTTGTTAAAACTTGCTCTTTTAAAGCCATGTTCTTCCGTCATTTTCATCAAATGTCTTTAATATCGTTTCAAGATCTATTCCAATATTTATAAATTCGTTAAACAGCCATAAGTTAAGTTGGCTCTGACATATTACCTATGTTTTAATTCATCTCATAGTCATTGATACTTGCATATCTAGTTTTTAGTAAATTATTAACACTTCTTTATTGAAATTCCATGTTTAGTTTTTTATAATTAAAATTTAACATAGTATTTATACTCTTATTATTATTTATATTATACAGTGGTCGCCGCTTATTGGACTCGCGGTTAGGTTAATTGACTCATTCGCCTATTCGACTCACACACCGGTTAATAGGGTCATTTAAAAACTAGATAAATAAATAAAATATGTACATACACCAAACAAACCTTATAAATAAGTCGGTACCGGTATTTCGTGCTTCAAATTTTACGTAGAGGGATTCAGCAAAGAGGCGATTTTGACGTATTCGAGCAACATAAATCCTTTGAATATTTGATTATGAAGTTGGCTGAAGAAATTAAAATCCAATCAACTCTAGATGGATTTTTATCGAAAAATTAATTGGATTTTACAAACATTATTATATTACATATTATTTTATTTTTATATTTATATACACATACATTGAATCTCAATAAATATTTTTTAGTTGAATAAGTTTTTAAATGTTAGGATTTTCAATTTTTTTTTGGGGGGGGGGGGGCCATTCGCCGTATTGAAACGAAAATTTAATATGGTAACGGTACCTACCAGGTATGGCGATATTATGTTTGTTTATTGCTGATATCTCATCAACCATTTATCATAGAAATTCGTTTTGAAAACATTATACGAAGTGCTTATCGTTATCTATAAAAGAAAGGTATAATATGATAGTTCTTCGAGAATGTAACCATTACTCATTAGTAGAGGTCGGATTTTTATGATTTTACATATTTGTTTCTAGTTTATGCAGTTAAATGGGAGTGAGAAATCTTTACGAATCACGAAACACAGAATTCACAGGAAAAAATTTATTTTGCATAAAAAAGCATATTTTAGAGGTTAGAGAATATTTAACACGTTAGAGAATATTTGGGAATATTTTTGTGATACCCGGCATATAATGAACATATTTCACGCATATCAGCATTTGATAAATACAATGTTCACTAAATGATTTATTTCCGGATTTTAATAAAAATTAATCTCCAGGTATTCCTTATCGATTGCGAAAGCACAACGGTTATTTCGTTAGCTGTCACGACTATACATCGAACAATATATAGTAATTAATTGTTATTGTAAAATTAATTTAATTAAATATTTTTAAAACCAAATTAATAAAAAATTAATTTAAACTGTTTTTTTTTTTTTATATCAAAAGAATATTTTGCATATTTAAGGACATAAAACATCATATATCTGGTATTTTAAAGGAATATTAAGAGAATATATTGCTTATTTTATGTGACATACAAACATCATATTTTAAGGATTTTAAAAGAATATAAATCCGACCTCTACTCATTAGTAATAAGTTATTACTAAAATACTATGAATGGGCATATGTTCTACACGTAAAAGTAGGCCTCCTAACTACTAGCGCTTTTAGTTCAGTCCAGCGCCGTATAGACCGATATAATACACATATTGTATAGAAGCGTCCGCCAACCTGAGTAGATAACCGTGGTACCGACATAATATCCTACAGCGTTCCTGTATTCTTTCCAAGAAGGCCTATTTATAAATTATAATTTTTAATTGGTAGTGAACTATTGCGGAATTTCACGACGAAACCAAATGGTATGCACATGTCTGCGTACTGCGTTTTTTGAAAATTCGTCAAAAAGATCGCGAAAAGATTTTTTCTTACGTGTTGTTTTTGCAACTGGCACCGTCTTTGTCTCATTGTAAGCCATAATGATTGTGTGGATTGAACGTTCACCAATAGACAATAATTCTGATATTTGTTTGCGAATTTGCCTCATATAAATGTTAGGTTCGTCCATTATTATACTCTTGTACATATTCACAATACGGATTCTTAAATCTTCACTTATAGCCTGAAATAAAAATAATTAAAAAAATAAGTCTTAATAAAAATGATGTCTTGAAAGACCTTTCAATTAAAAAACATGTTTTAATCGATTAAAAACATTTTTTTTGTTTTGAAAAAACATGTTTTTTATAAACTCGGAATTTTTATATCATATAATACTCACTTTTCCACTTTTTTGCTTTTTAATTAGTGATGGGCCATATTCAGCATTATCCTCATCAGAACTGCTTGCCATTTTGGGTGAATAATTCACAAAACGGTATTACAAAAAACAGAACAAATATCAAAAAGCGCACGGTGTTTTTATGTGTTACGGAATGAACGCGTAAACCACTTGTGGCATATAGTGACGTGCGATATTATAGTTCACTACGTATACAGCTGCAGCACGTCGGCGGCGGCGGCACAGCCGACATCAACGCTGTCTGTGGCAACAGACATGCGCGAGCTCAACGAGTTTTCGTCGATCGAGTGGGCAAGGTTATTCTGAATAGAGTATATTTAAAGTAGTATAAGGATAGTTAAAGTATAGTTAAAGAAGCATTAAATGAAATGGCAAAGAAGCCGAGAAAAATTGACTTAGTGTTATAATGAAAATATAATGTTTTATTCTCACTATTTTGATGTTTTACTCAATGTAATTTCCTATAGTAATATCCTCTATAAATTTTTATCTATGGAACTGAACCCTCCCCATAGAAAATTCTTGGCTACGGCCCTGATAACAAATAAATATAAGTAAAATAATAGTAAGGGCCATTTTATCAATCATCAGTTAAATAGTCGTTTAACTAATCTCAAGTTTAGATTAACTGAAGATTAAAAAAATGTTCATTTTATCAATCAAATCTAAGCCGAGGTTAAGTAAACTGCGTTTTATAAACCGAAGATTAATTTACTACCAATTGAAGTTAGTAGCACGTTAATATAAACATGTTCTTATCTTCATATCGGTATAATATTGTTTTTTGTTATCATTTTAATCTGTAGTGTATTCGTATTTTTATCTATATTATAAAATGTAATTTATATTTTATATTATAATACTTATATTAACTTATACTATTCATGTAAATTACCATTTAATTAATTCAGTTTAAAATAATTTTTATATTGTCAAAATGAATTCTAAAGTGAAGCGAGAACGCTCCACAAATTTCATTGACAGCGAGTTAGAACTTCTTGTCGACCTAGTGGTCAGGCACAACAAGATACTAGAAAATAAGAAAACAGACGCTGTAACTGCAAATGTGAAAAACAAAACATGGGATATACTGGCTAAGGCATTCAATAGTAAAAGCCTTAATGGATTCCGCAGTGAAAAGTGTTTGAAGTCGAAATATGAAAATTTAAAAAAAACAGTTAAAATGAAGTTGCGTGAAGTGAAATCAAAACCATGTCCAACTGGAGGTGGACCAGCTGCCCCACAGAAAACTTTAAACAAACTATCCTCTATTGAAGAGAAGATCCGATCACTGAACCCTTTAGCTTTCAATGGCGGAACTTCACAGTTTGATAGTGACTGTATTGATAATGTAAGTAT